TGTTTTCAAACTTACTTCTTTTATCATAATTGTTTAAGACGATCACTTCAAAAGCAAATTGAAAAGGCAATGTGTCGACAAGGTCCAAAAATGACTCGTTCATAGATCTGTTCGAACCTTGAATGAAATGATCATTGGCATATATATTACATATGCACTTTGTTCTGCCTATTAACATCTAACGTTTGACATCTTAAAGGGTAATACTAAATGTAGTGCTGACTACAGTTGCCACATGAATGAGTATAGCCACTAATATATGGCCTTTGTGCATCGCTAAGTTCAAAAACCGAAATATTGACACTACGTCTGTACAACAGGCAATAACATGAGTTCTGGCTTTTCACTGGTTACCTCAGAACAATGATCAGAGATATAGTTTATCCACATGCTTAAAAGTTCGAGCTTTCGTGGCGAAACGAAACATGGCTCGGAAAACACCATTCTTCTGCGCATAGTACAAAATTTCGTCATATCTTCCATGTGCATTTCATTCTATGGCCTTGATTTGGTACATGTCCCTTAGTTAATCTTCAGTGAGTTGGAAAGTCACTGGTTTGTTTTTAATTCATTATCAGCCAGTTTAACAGTAACTCCAACGTATTTGTGAAATTTATTTGGAAAGCTTTGATACGAAGAAGAAGAAATCCTTAGACCCTTATCTACATCGATTATATTAGTGGCACCAGAGAGGCTCTGTCAAACAGTGATTTGAAAACGTATGAAATAAATAAATTCATGAAAACAAAGCATTTTCTGGGCTCTCTGCAACAGTAAAACTGTGGAAATATTCCGAATGACTACCTGATCCAAATCTGTCAGTATATGTACTACAATGCATGCTTTAAGAATCTTGATTATTTTTTAGACTTCAAAAATGGGCAATTTTGGGGCCTAATTGACACTATTCCTTTGTTTCAGCTAAACTACATAATTTTTACCATATTTATTATACGATGTGTAGAGAGTCTTCAGACCAATTTTCTGAAAAATACGAGATATTGGGCCAATTCCCTTTTTATGAAACAAGTCTATTATAAATTAATAAAGATATTCTTGTATCTTTGAACACTCAGGGTTCATATTATATACATATCATAAGGCCTATTACTTTCAATAGTAAGTGAGTATCAAAAATTCATTCCCCAAACTTTTAATGATATTTTGATCTAATATGTGCAATCATCAGAATAATTCCTTTTCTATTGTTTCTTAAATGAAACACGATGAAATAATGATTACTCTGGCATATTTTATAATAATTGTTATAAATCACTACAAAAATCGAAAATATGTGAAGCTTAGCAGCATATAAAATTGATGTTTCGAAGGTAATATTTCCTTGTGTTGAATTTTAGTATTTCGTGTGTTGTGTGAAGCAGCATTATATGTTGAATTTTAGTATTTCATTTGTTGTGTGAAGCAGCATTATGTGTTGAATTTTGGTATTTTGTGTGTTGTGTGAAACAGCATTATGAATAATAGTTAAAAAAAATATTCTCACCGAATAACGCTATTTTTAAAAGTATCTTTCTTGTTTGTTTAATTCATTAGAAAATATTATAAATGGCTTTAAAATTTTACAATATTCTTATATTTGAAGCTCCCTTCTCTGTTCACGTCACACCTCAGTATCATGTTGTTGACGTTGGTCAATCCACCACACTAAACTGTTCTTTAACCGGTTATCCGGTCCACAAGATCAAATGGATGAAAAATACAGTCCCCCTGGTGACAAATCCAAGGATCAGAATCTTAGATCAAAAGATACTACACTTTTCTGCTGTAGAAAGAGAAGATAGAGGGATGTATCAGTGTTTTGTTTATAATGACAAAGAATCAGCGCAAGGAACTTCAGAGTTGAAACTTGGAGGTATGAATGTTTGTACGTTTATATAACTTTAGGTTACAAGTTTTGAATTTAATTTCATTACGTTACTCATTCAAACAACCCGTATAACATTCTGAACAAATTATGCTCTTAACATATTTATGACGACATTTCAAACGAAATGTTATATCGATCAAGTTCCAAGAAAAAGGCAGCAACTGAAACAAATAGACGATATTTTTCCTGTTGTTAGGTCGATAAAATCTGGAACGTTACACGAGAATGTTGAGAAAAGCTATGTTTATGTGTTTGTAGCAACGTGTAAATCAAGTCGAATATATATTTGTTCTTAAGAGGAAATATATAATGTTGCCTTATAAATGCCAAATGAATAAATTTATAGGTTTGCATCGATCAAGCCCAGTAGAGAAAAAGTATCCCGATTGTATCATGTAGATACATAAAAGATTTATTATATAAGGGGAAATTAAAGTCGTAGTCTCAAAGCTTTCTAGCGTCTAACGTTGTAAATTGTAATTTTTTGTTAAATATATATGATTTGTAGACCTCCAGTATAATATTTTATACCGTGTGCCAAGTTTGGGAGAATTATAACATTTGTCTGTCACTACCCATTTGTTTCAATCAGCAATGTTGTTTTTAAAAAAAAACGTTTTAAAGTTTTCTAAAATTCAACGTTTTTACAAATATTGAAGAATTTCGTCTATTACAAATAGGAATTTTTTTCCACTAACTATTTACATCATACATAAGATAGAAAACAAATTATAAAAAGAACATATTATTAAATATAAAGCATGTACATTATGACCTGCATTCAGGTTGCGTAATTTGTTTTATACTTTAATACGGCAAATGCTGTAAATCCAGTTTTGAAATTAAGTTTATTTTTATTTACTTATTCTCTAATGTTGACTTATACATATATATTGTTCAAGGTTGCTTTAATTGATTACTATTATTTTACTGAATTTTTGACGTGCATTCGCAGGGATACTATTTATTTATTTTGATATTAAAAGCCATAGAGTTTGTTTGCTTGTTTTTAATTTCGCGCAAAGCTACACGAGGGCTATCTGTGCTAGCCATTCCTGATTTAGCAGTGAAAGACTAGAGGGAAGGCAGCTAGTCATCACCACCCATCGCCAACTCTTGGGCTACTCTTCTAGCAACGAATAGTGGGATTGAGCGTCACATTATAACGCCCCCACGGCTGAAAGAGCGAGTATGTTTGGTGGGATTAGGATTCGACCCGTAACCCTCAGATGGCGAGTCGAGCGCCCTAACCACCTGGCCATGTAGGGTCAAGCCAAAGAGGAATAAGTACATTCTTTCACGTGTATTCTAATTAGCACACATTTATAAAATACCAATTCTAATCTCAATTATATTCAAATAATCTTACCCTAAATTTATAACTGTATCACTTTGTGTGTTTGTTGTTAAGCGTAAAGGTATAAAACGGGCTATTTGTGTTTTGCCTACCATGGGTATCAAAATCCGACTTTTAGTGTTATGAGCCCTTAGTTATTACCGCTGAGCTACCGAGGACAATTATACCACCTGGATAGTATTCATAAATTACTACAACTGCAACCAAAACATACTATTATTTCTACACTATATATTTTTTTCATTCTATATTCTTAAAATGTTGAAATTACTTTCATATTCCCAATATCCTGATTGATTTGAATCGGTGGCGCAGCGATAATTCAGTGAGCTTATAACGCTAAAACATCGGGTTTCGGTATTCTTAGTGAGCAGAGCACGGGTAACCTATTGTGTACCTTCGTGTTTTACAACAAACGAAAAAAAAAGCGAACATTTGAAACTTGTCCATTTGTAGCTATTACTTTGTTTACATAATGCTTCTAAACATTTCCACATATCTTAAGAACTCAACTTACAAATTAGTATTTTGTGAGATATCATACTAATGGCCCCATGACAATTATGGTATGCTCATTTCAAAAAGTAGAATCATCTAAAAAAAAATTCAAAGGAGAAATTTTACTGATTATTATTGGTTAAATCTCAGCTCTTAATAATTAAATCATGATTCCATACAATCTGTGTAATGAACTCTATTATAAAAAGAACATTACACTTAAAAAAGTCACGGTATCGGAACACCATGTTGTTGCGAGCCAGATGTGACCTATGATTAGTATATCAGACTTCAGAAACCCAAAGGTCTGTTGTTTGTGTCTCATTGCAGTGAAATTCAGTACTTTGAGGATGTGGGTGTGATATGAGAGTGATGGTCAAATCACACTATTCAATTAAAATAACCCAAACGTTTGAAGTGGATGCTGTTGGCTAGCTGCTTTTCCTCTAGTCTATCAGTTCAAAATTAAGGATCTGTAATACAGATAACCTTTACAAAGTTTAGTTCAAATATCCAGAATAAACAAATCATGTTATCTTACTTTGACATGATTAGATACTTCTCACATCGATTTTATATTTTAATTCATATATAAAAAATATCTTCAGGATCCTAATGTTTCTTCTGTGATTTACAAGTGTAACTGAGCTCGTATTTTGTAAATACTAGACACATGCATCAAAATATAGAGTAATAAGTAGTGGAAATCTAATTAATAATCAACATTTAAAAAATACAAATTTTTCAAAAACTTTTACTGGAAATGACTTGTAATAAATAGGGCAGAAAAGGTATGTGATCATCCGATACATACAAAAGCAATCAAGTTTACATTGCATTCACAATTTCTATTTAATTTGATTTATCGGGATCAACCCTGAAGACAAATAGGTTTTCTTAGCGCGTCTTATATTTTAACAACATTAAATATATTTTTCAAGATAATCCTAATATTTCACAAGTGTGATTTAACATTAAAGCTATCCTTTTTAACAGAATATTCAGAGCTCATAAACGTTAAAAGAGTTTCTTTTATAAAAGCAGCTTCACATTTGACACGAATCTTATCAGTGCTAAAGTTTTCGTTTTTTAAAGAGACTTCATCTCAGATTCAAATGTTACTAATATTAATTTTGTCATGCTTAAAATAAAGTAAAAAAAAATATCGTGCTCATGTGAGCTTTTTTTGGAAAAAAAATTATATTGATTAATCAAAATATTAACATGATGTTATAATTTTTCATACTACGTGTAATTTCTTTAGAAGTCACCCCGGTAATTTTATCAGCTTTTACTGAGCAAGTCTTGAAACCTGGAGTAGATCTTTCGTTAAGCTGTACTGCCACAGGAAACCCTATACCTCAAATTACTTGGACATTGGAAGAGCTTGGCATACCGGAGCTATCCAGGATTCGTTTAGGCGACTATGTGACCTCTAGAGGTCATGTGGTTAGTTATGTTAACATCAGCAACGTAAGGGTGGAAGACGGGGGAGAATATACGTGTATGGCAACAAATATGGCTGGAGTGGTGACGCATTCAGCGACTGTCAGTATATATGGTCCTCCAGTAATTCGGCCGATGAGGAACCTTTCAGTTTTGTCAGGAGAAACTATGACGTTGCGATGTCCAGTAGCAGGTTATCCAATCAAATCAATGACATGGATACGAGGTAAGCTTGGCCTTCGTATCTTAGGATCAAAGAAATCAAAAACATAACTTTATACTTATTTTCAAAATAGGTTGTACAAAAATCACAAACATTCTATTCATATCGCAGTTATTTGAATTGCACATTGATTTTCAACATTTTTGAATAGTACAGTTGAAACATAGTCACCTCCTAACGGCTATATTATCTAAGCATTATTACTATAAGCAATTCAAAACTTGCAGCTCTCACCCGAGTCTGTTTAAGTGAGAAATTGTTATTTTTTTTAAAGATATATATGAATTATATTCAACTTCATTGTAAAACGCTTAGAGCTGAATATCATCTCAACAGTAGCGTGGAACCCTTATATCTGAATCGCAATTAACCTTAAACTCAGATCAATGAAGCTAAATGAAGTTTAGCACTATTCTCGAATCTATAATATGAGACACACTTCACGTAGTTTTAGGGATACAGAGCTAAATAACAAATTTGTTCTTTCTTTATTCAATAAAACTGGTTTATGCAACCCCTTATTTAAATAGCTTTACTGAATATTCAACTTTGACATCTCTAACTTATTCAGCTGAATAACATCGACTCTTAATCCAAAACTACTCGCGCTAAATACTATCTAACCATTGAAACAACATCAGACTCTTGGATCTAAATTAAATCAAGCTCTTAGCTCAGACCGGTATGGTCGAGCCACGCTCAGTCTCAACCTGGGACTTAGATCTTTATATCACACTTAATATTTAATTATTTAACTTTTATCTGAAACAAACACAACTTTAAACTTTGACCAATAGATATAAATGAAGGTTAACATTCAGTGCTGAGCTTTATCTCCAGTTTTATATTCAGATCGTTACTACTGTTTTACCATGAAATTGAGCACGTGTCCCATAATATTTAATCCCACTAACTCGTTGCTATTTAATGGTTAAGCGTGTAATTGTTTCTTTCTTCTCGATAGCACTCTTACATTTGCGCTAACTTTAATAACTCTCTCGGTTCTTGACCCCGGGAAATACTTGTTGGTCAACCGGAAGTACCGGATCTAAACTCCCTGAACATACGTATAAAAATAATTCAAATACATCAAATAGAAAAAAAACAAAAGATAGAGAGAGATGTGGGAACATATAAAAGATAGCTTATCATGAGAAATACGTTTGCAATTACAATTTCAATTTATTGGATTAGCTCAATCTCCATTCACAATGGGCCTTAATTTTCTGTCTACTACGATTCTTAGACGGCACAGTTTCTTTCTTACTGGCATACTATATGAGTCAAGCTAAGATTTCTTGTACTTCACTTCTATAGTGCAGATAAAGTGAAGCAATTATGATAAAATCTACCCTAATTTCGTTTTTGATACTTCTCTAAAATCATAACAAGACATCACAAGCTTATTGTTATTTATATTGGACTGTTAAAACACTAACATATTTGAGGTAATTAGTAAACGCTTTTACAAGGTGTTTATTTTGCAAAAATACTTGCAAATGTGCCTGTTTATCGCTCGGCACTTAATTTTTGTTTTTACAGGGATAACACGACGGGGTGCATGTGCGTCATTTGCCATGCAAGTATACTGAATATGACTGATCAGCAAAAGTACCCCTATTACGCGTGGCATTAAACGTCACTTTCGTTTGACGTTGGTCTCACTAAATAAAACTTTAAATGGCTGCAAAACTTGGATCGTTGGACAAATAGCTTACGCAGTTAAACTCGTAATTGGGGGTAGAACTGATGTTGTCTACCACATTTAATCGGAATTTGCCCATGACAACAACTTGTTACGTCAAGGTAATAGATAGACATGCCATTGGACCACCCTGCTTCATATATATAAATGAAATATACAAATGCTTATAATCTATGAGGTCGAGACGCCAGACAGAGAGACAGTTAGCCGAGAAAGAGAGAGAGAGAGATGAAATATAAACATTTTGTCATGTTTTAAATACATTGAAAGTGAAATATGTATATACTAACGTTGTGCTAAAAATCTTCAAGACAGGAGAGTATATTCTAGATAGTAAATTATAAATCTTTTCATCTAGATTGGAAACATATAATCATGAAAAATCGATTAGAGTGAATATTTCTTGTGGACTTAACAAGGTAACAGCAACGCACATCAATTTAATACAAGTGATGTCACTGAGATAATAAAAGATAGGATTTCAAAGCATTTTTTAAAACTTTACTTTTGTAAACTTAGGAGCACAGACTCTTCATATTCAACCAGGATAATTAATGGAAATGATGTATTACATTCATGTTGAGGGTTATTGTGTGTGTATTTAAGTTACTTTTTCAAATAAAGTAGATAGTTAGAATGACTCATTTGCACTGATAATTACTTAATAAGTTATCCTCAATAATATCAGAATATGACAATATCGTGTTATTGTTGCCAGTTAACTATCTTGCTGGGATGTTTTGTCTTTGTGCATCTTATCAATTAAATTTTGTTTTCAAATCACTAATAGCTTTTTTTTTAATTGAATGTAGCTGGCTCTCAGCTGCCTGTTTTACTTCGTCAGAAACTAAAACCTGGCGGGAAACTTCTCGTGAAGAACGTGGAACGTGTGCCAGATGAAGGAGAGTACACCTGTATAGCAAAAAATCCTGATGGAGACAGCGCAAGTGGTAAAGTGTTTGTCTCAGTGAAAGGTGAGTATGTCCTTGGTTTTACTGTTTACCAAATATTTTATGTGATTAGCCACAGTGAGAAAAATATTGCATAAATTACGATTATAAATTAAGTAAGCAAGTTAAAAAATTGCCATAAAATTATTCAAATTTTTTGTTTTGAAAAAATAAATAAATAAAGACCCATAAAACCGAAATATTTCAATAATCCAAGATTGATACTCATTGCTTAGATTGCTAGCATAAATCTTGCTTGAAAGTTAATTTGTTTTTAGTTTAATAAATTTATTTTGCTGTAATAACATTTTTATTTTGCAATAAATAATTAAATTACTAGTGTTAAATTTTGTCTAATGTCCATTTAATGTAACTGTTGTTTTTTCTTACGCTCTATCAAACTTTCATTTTTTAAAAAATATTTTATTGCATAATGCTTCGTAATAATGTTACTTTATTTCAATTGTTTTGTTATTTTATTCATAAAGTGGCACCTCACATCGACGAAGAATTCTTTCCTGAGAAACGAACAGCGACTGAAGCTGAGAGTGTAAAACTGTTGTGTAGTATTGTTAAAGGTGATCCACCAATAAGTATCACTTGGGATAAAGATGGCGTTCCTATAAGCCGAGAGAGGCATAGAAGAATTCAAAGCTTGGAGGATTCATCCTTGCTGATCTTAAAGCACCTGAAATACAGGGATTCTGGAAATTACACGTGTCATGCATCAAACTCAGCGGCAACTGTTAGTAGAACAACGGCCATGATTGTGAACGGTAGCATAATTCTGTATTTAATGTTATTTTGAGCTTATATATTTTACATTAAATTTTTTGTAAAATCAATGTTTTTTATTTTTACTCTCATCAAATTAAAATGTACGATGTCTTTTCTAAAACTGCGTTTTAGTACCAACAGGTGTGCGACAAAAATACAACAATGTTTCATTTTGATGTTTAAAACGTTAATATAGAATTTTTTAACTATTTGTAAACGTTTGATTAAAAACATGATCAAAAATGACGTTTTTATCTAAATGGTTACACTTATTTGGTTACTGATCTTTAGCTTCTTATAATTTATTCATGTTTGTTTTCCCGTAGAATCTTTAACAAGTATATATACTATTCAGTTACAGTAAAAACATCTTTGATTGGCTACTGAGTCCTTCACTGCACAAATTACAATAGCGAACGACACGCACAACTCGCTCTTGAGACTTCTTCTACTGTACAAGTTTACTGATAATCACGTAATCTTTGAGTTATTAACTTTTCAGTTCCGCCACGTTGGCTGATAGAACCGATCGATAAAGATGTCATTCGAGGAGAAAGAGTGGCGATTGACTGCATCGCTGAAGGATATCCCCAACCACGAATCTCCTGGAAAAGGCCCTTAGGTAAGTTATTGAATTTGTAAGTACGAATTGGTTTGAAAAAAAATATCGGTAACTTTCAAACTAATAAATAATTATTTCAAACGATTAAAAACTGTTTCCCAGAAATTTGCACTAAATCAAACCATAGAATATCTTGGGCTACTTATTTGAAACTGAAACTTGCAGTTTTGCTTAAAGTTAGTATAGTTATTTTTCATAATTATAAACATACTATTAAACCTAATATGTGTCTCCCATGATCTTGCTATAAAATTTTATTTTATTTTTTGTATTTTTTTTTTGGGGGGTGGGGTCAGATTTAATATCTTTTTGTTACATAGTAAAATGAAATATGCATAATATGTATCAAAATACCACTAAAGTATCGAAAGTTATAAACCATTATAGGCAAAATCTCATTAAGGTGTAACTTTTGTTTCATTTTATGATAAGATAATTATTGTTAAATATAGTGCACACGAACTGCACAAGATCCTTTAAGCACAATAATGCCTAATTCTTTACTGAATTTTTCAACGAACACTGTTTATAAGCAATGAATAGCTAAGGGCTTCAAGGTACGTTCTTCCCTTTTGTTGAATACAAAGAAGAGGTCGAATAATATATGTCATAAATAACGATACGACATAATCTTAATCACTATGTTTGTCTTAGATGTTTAAAAGAGATCTTATAAAAGGAAACGTGTTTTTTATGTCTGTCAAATATCTTACTGTAATTTACCACTATTTTATAGATCTTTTTTTCTACACTTCGCGAGTGAATGATTCTGTTAATATGAAAATATCCATCTGCTGCTAGTGAGGCGTTTTCCATAATATGGCATGAAAAATAATTTAAAAAATTAAATCTTTGAGCAGGATAACTTTAGATCAACGAGATGAGATCAAATCCCTCACAAAGGAGGACAAAAAAGCTGTGTGCAAACTTTACACTACGACACTAATGAAGGTTTATTCGCCTCTGTGCATTAAGCGTCCAGACATCAAACTGAAAGATCTTACCTTCGCTTGTAACATAATAGCCTTCAGACTCCTTATTGCACATCTATTAACAGTTGTTACTTGGAAGAACAAAGGTGTAGCCCTCCATTCCGTATAAATCCGCTTCATTTACCACGTCTATGTGAAAAACACTTCATGAAAAATGGTGTTGTTGTTTTTTAAAAGTACCTTGATACAATTATATTTGTGACTCCATTCCTCTGTTTTACAAAACTGGCTTTTTGTTTGTTTGTTTGTTTGCAACGACGCATAGTTACACAATGGGCTATCTGCGCTTTCTCAATCATCGGGAGTCGAACCCAGAATTTTAGCGCTGTAAGTTCGTAAAATTACCGCTGTCCCACCGAGGAACTCCACTGAGTGAAGAAGAAAATGTATTAAGGAAAAAATATCTTAATAATTAATATATAGCTGTTCATTCTTCAACATTTGTTATTTTAACCGTTAAGATGATATACGGGATATAAAAAATAAAAAATACACTTGTATATATATATATATATATACGTTAATGTTGTGTATTCTAATGTTATACACTCTTTACATATAAGCAATGTGCATTCTTAAGCAAATGAGACATAACATTTTTCGACATTTTGCCAATTGAATAAAATTCAAACTAGCTGAGGATCAAATTTCAATTTGATAATAAACGCAACTTTTTGTTACTTTTTGCAATACAAATAAAATGTGATGACATAATTTTATTGTTTGTAGTTTTCACACTGCATGATAACATTTTATCTCAAAAAGGTTTTCATTCACTGCTTTCATATTTACACACATACACAGAGATTGCTGTGGATTAATTGACCCGACTGATATATATATTCATCTCGTATTTCTCGAGATAAAAGAAACAGCAAAATGATTTTATTGATGTAAGTGAAATGTGTTTTTAATACCGTTCTGAATTACGTTTTTATGATAAAAGTTAAGACTACTAATAAGCAAAACCCAACATCATAAAAAAATAATGGTCCATAATATGAAGCGATGTCTCGTACCCCCTCTTTAAGAAGAAAAATATTAAACTGAGCGTTACTGAAGGAATATTTGAACGATCACATAATAGGTGTTAGTTTTCTATCGCATTTAATGCACAGTGAATCACTGTAACTTAATTATAGATAAATGTAAAAACAAAGCTATGTGTTTCAATCAGGATTTTTTCTCCGTTTTTTTTTTTTTTTACTTTTCCAAGAGCACCGTTTCATTATCGTTAAGATAATACTATCTAGATTAGACACATTAGTGGTTAAATGTTTAAAGGTCTTACTATTATAGCCATTTTTGTTTTGTCTCCTTCGCTTTGCTTCTGCTAATATGTGAAAATGTTTCGTTTTACTTAAATCTGTTAATTCGTTTAGCTAACGGCGAGTGGGCTTACTATGAGTTCCAGATCGTCTTTAGTAAGATTATTTCCTTTTTCTGAAAAGGGTTCATCTAGTCGTACGTGGACTTTTTTTTTCTAATTCTCGTTAATTCACTCTCATTTCAGGGTCACAGTTAAATGATTTTCGAGAAGTATACCCTAATTATCGCACACAAGTATTCAGCAATGGCACATTGATGATCCAGGACCTGGAAGACAGCGATAATGGACACTATCTCTGTCAGGCATCTAACGGTATTGGTAGTGGGTTGACGAAACTCATAGTTGTCACTGTACATGGTACGTAGCATTTTATCTCCTGTATATACATAATAATTATGTAATCATATCTTCTCGAATATACCTAATTTTTGTGTGTATATATAGATAATTACGATGGCATTTAAGAAAAGTGTTACCAACGAAGTATTCTTCCAGCAACAAACGGAATTCTCTAAACATTATCCCGTTAGAAAGAAAGGGTACAGATTGTTTGAGTAACTTAAGGGTTAGCATACGATTAGCTTACAGCTAGTTGGTGGTTATATAAAATGATATGATAATGCTCACAACTTAAATACAACAGAAAAAAATAAAATCGTATTGGGAAAAAATACACCCGATATTGATGTTGTTAGTAATTTATATAATAAAGAGATTAAACAAATAATTGCTGAAAAGATCTTCAAACGGAAGTGAAATTTTATCATAATCCACCTTTTTCCGAAATCAATGTTTAAATAAAACCATTCTAAATCACATATTTATAAAAAATTGTTTTCTATCATATCTAAACATTTTAAAGTAGGTCACTTAACATTAGAATGTTTTTAATAGTGTTGCAACTGTAACACCATTATCATAGCACAACTTTCTGCATTAAAAGAAAGATATATCTTTGAATGCCTGTTTTAATATTTCTAAACAATGAGTTTTATTTGATTCTTCAGGTAAAACATATCTATCAGCAAACTCAAACCATTCATCTTTTATACTTCATACATTGCCTTTCAAGTCTACTTTTTATGTTAATTTTGTACTAAAATGAATATTAATCTCAAATTATTAAATTCTACTGAAACCTGACTTTTATATTTTGAGGCGATAATTTGTTAAAATAACGAAATTGAGTATATTATTGTCCTCCGGTGAGACAGAGGTAAGCTTACGGACTTAAAACGCTAGAATTCGGAGTTTAATTCCCCGTGATGCTTTAATGTTTATCACTGTTATTTCTACAATTATTGAGTTAATTATTGTGTCTGATTGACGATTAATAACTTCGACATAAACTTTCTTGAATATGTATTTTTATATTTGCTTCTCTTCTCAGCGCCACCTCGATTTGAGACTACTTTCATCAGCCAAACTGTTGCAAAGGGTGCTCAGACGGTATTAAATTGTGAAGTTGAGGCAGACCGTCCTGTGTTTGTGAAATGGCAAAAAGACAAACACCCACTAGACATAAAAACAGAGAAAAGGTTGAATGTTTCTGTTAAATAATGTTTCAAAACAAGGATAAATGGCTTATCTGATTAACAAACGAATAACATTTTTAATGAATAGTATAAATATAAATTCTTTCTTATTTTTTCTATGAACTATTTGTGTTTCAAGTGAACATGTCCTATAGGATAAATAAAAACGTAGGCCAAAACAATGGTATTTTTTCTTCAAATTAATTTATGGGAAAAATTAAAAATGTATTTATGAGATTTTAAATTATTAACTGTAAAATAGAATTTTCAGAAGTGTGCTTTAAAAGAAGAAACAATGGATAGCCGTATAGCTTCATTGAAAATTTGAAATTATTTTAATTTGTTTAATAAATTATTATACTTTCGATGTGTATGTTAATTACATTACTTACTTCCAAAACGTGACTAATCGTTAACGATAGAAAATTGAATTTATCAAGACATCGCCACTTCTATAAACAAATGAGAATACCATGACAATTATTCTTATCATTTAACATATCCGTTACTGTTTTTTGTTAATTATCGCCTATGTGATGGGCATAAAATAATAAATCTTTTTAACTTTATTAGGCTGTTTTGATATATTTTTGACATTAATATTTTCTGATCTATCCTCTTATTTCACGTATTTTGTGTTGCAGACGATAATATTTATCATCCAATTTATAAGATGTATTGGATTCTCAAAAGTAGAGATTAGATATCAATGTTATGCTGCTCTTGCAGAAATAATGGAAAAAAATCCTCAAAAAAGTGACCTAATCGATTAGACTTCTGCCTTAATTTTGTATTAAAGATGATCTTGTGGAGCTTGTTTTATAAAGATCATAGTGTCGTTATTAGTTCGTCCCAACTGACCTTACATTTTGCTAAAGATTGCACATGAAGTTTCATGAGATACAGGGCACGTAAAACGTGCCCTGCTAGCAATCTGTTCCTCAGTAGATACCAGTCCTTAAACAACGTTTAGACCAATACATCTAAACACCTAGAATCGGTGAGATCTGCAGCATTGTCGTCTCAATTCTGCTGTAGTACTGCGAAAATTATTCTTCTCTCTGTCAAATAGTATCTCTTGAGGTACTTGGTTTGCACTAGATCAGCAAACTCTCCTGTCTGGTGAACTTGGAGATTCTTGGCGCTTTGTGTTCATCCGGATTTGGATTCTCCAACATCCTCTGGGATAGAGTCCATGCGTTGCCCCTCTCTTAGTGCATTGTATCTTCATACCTTTGACAGTTTTGAAAATTCTTCCTCAGCAGCAATAATATCCATTATACTTGTAGTGATAAACTGGGAGTCAATCTGTATAGATTCCGACTGTGTAAACTGTCTATCTTCTCTCCCCTGGTGTCGTATTTCCGAACTGTCAACATTCTATCGTTATTAATTAATTCGCCACAACAGACCATATTTTTTTGTTTCGCAGATTACACATGAGTTATTTAAGATGAAACTTCTAAAGACACCGTGGAGAAATAATACATATAGTTCAATGAATATTTCTAATTACTTGCTCTGTTGATGTTTAAATTGGTGTACCTCGGTCTATTAAAGGATTTAGAAATTTACCTAGAAAACAATTATTTTAACGAAGAGATATTTAAAAAGAGGATACAAAGTACAGAAAATTTCACATATCACATGAATAACCATAAGGGCTGTAACATACCAACAGAATAAAATGTATAAGAAGAGAAAAACCTGGTCATCGTTTCGAGTTAATGACCTTTACTGATCACTCAAGGTTTTTTGTCCTACCCATCGACTTATAATTTTAAGTTGTTTTCTAAGACACAGATATGAAATGTTATATTTTTAATTATATAAGCAACAAGTACTATTCATCGAATAATTTTGAGATACAAATCTACTGTATTTTAAAACGTTATAATTATATTATTATTATTATAATACGCTTTGCAGCTACCTATGTACAGCAACACATAAGAGCAACACAAATATCCCTCAAGAACTGATAATCACTTAAAATAATAATAATTCTACAGCAATAAGAATGATATTTTAGTTTTAAGTAATTCATTGTTTGGCAATACAAGGTTGATAAATGAATTGCTATCCATTGGATTCGCAATTCTAAAAGAAAATTAGTTTTACTTCATTAATTTGGAGACGTAATATTTTGCATTGCCTTTGTCTTTTACATAAACTGTCATTTACGTGAAAACGTAATGGTATTAAACAGCTATAAAATGTTTACAGCGGTGGTAGTAAAGCAATGTTGTCAGGTAATGTGGTCAGTAATTTCGAAAACATGGGTGATTTTTAAGTGCTGTTTTCCTGATGGGAAATAAAAATTAGCATTTAATCTTTCTTGTATAGATTCTCCATGAAACAGGCGGTGACTAAATCCAAAGTACAATCAAGTCTTGTAATTTCATCCTCACACAGATACGACTCAGCTCTTTACACATGTATGGTAAAAAACGATTATGGTTCTGACGAAACAAACATTCAGCTCATTGTGCAAGGTACGATATTTTGTTTGGCATCAATATATTATTTTAATTATATTTTTATAACCGAAACTGCCCACGTTAGAAAACCAATGTTTTTGTCCTCGTGTTTACATTAAGCAACATTGGTTATTTATTGCAAACTTTGTTACAAAACAAAAGTCCCCCCAAGCAGCATAGCGGTATGTCTGCGGACTTATGCGGCTAGAAACTGGATTTCGATACTCGAGATGGGCAGAGTACAGATAGCCCTTTCTGTAGCTTTGTGCTTAATAACAAAGAAAAACATCAAATAACAAAACGAACATCTATAACGTTATAAAATTAAGTCACCAGGCAACGTTCCTTGGTGCAACGTGTTTTTTGTTGTTGTTTTTTTCATTAAGAACAAGGCTATACAATGGACTATCCGTGTTGTGACCATTGCGGGTATCGAAACTACACATGGGAGTGATGATGATGGACACGCACGTTTAGCCGTCCGAAATATGTAAACTTGTTTTATATCTCTTGACATAATGTTTGTATTAAAAGCCTTCGTTACACAAGAAAAACGTTGCATAGTAATTTAATTTTATAACTTGCCCGAATTAGCTAAATAAAGATCAAACTATAAAGTTATCCAGATCAATATACACCTAAAAAAAAGAGCCTGATTGCAAGTAATTAACAGATGAGCTTATTTTATATTTTTTACCAGGATTTCTCTTATTAATCTTAATTTCATTCTACTTCATTTTAACAAACAAACTCAATGAAAATGTTTTGAAACAATAACAGACTTTACTGTATAAAAGTAAAATCATGTATTAAAACTTTATGCTGTCTGTCTGAATAATCAATATTAACTTTTCTTTCGTTCTATCTTACAGAATATTATTTCTGAAGCAAGTTTTATATCATAGGTTATATCTTTTACTTTGCAGAGCCACCAAGTCCACCTACAGACGTTACTAAAATGTCAGTAGGTAGTCGGACAGTAGAGTTGTCATGGAAACCATCGTACAGCGGAAACAGTGCCATCACAAAATACACTGTTGAATACAAAAATATTTCAGGTACATAGAACCTTTAAGAGAAAAATATATAAAGATAAATTTACGAGTGACATGGAATCTCATATTTCATTACGACAAATTTTTGTTGTTATGATATATAAATGTTAATTTTAAAATAATTTTAAAAAAGAAATAGGTTTATTGTTCGCAATTATCTACTAAACACTATGTTACGTAATGAGTGATAGTTGGTCTTCGAATATAGGTATTTTTTACATACATTTTATAAATGATGATCAAGTACCCTTAAAACTCACATTTATGTGTTAGTTATTTAAAGAGGATTTGACATAAAATCCTTAATCGTGAGACCAAAATCTAAATTTGCATGTTATTAGGAAAATGTTTTATCTGCGAGTTTTCCTAATAACGACTTAAATAATCACTAAAAGTCCAATAGATTTAATGTAACGATACAATAATTAATTTTAGAACATTCATATACAAGTTTAGGAAAATAGCTTTGAATCACGTATAATAATTTTATATAGCCAGATTAATAGAACATACAATTAATATAGCTTTAATAATGAAGATGAAGACGGTTGATAAAACACAAAACATTTTATTTACAAGGTTAGAACGTTTCGGAATACATTCATTCCATCTTCAGCGAAATCTGAAAATCGTGTTATGAAGATGATTATTAACTAAAACTATAATATCACAATCACTAGTCTATTGAGTTCTTAAGAGAAGTCGTAAACGAAAGGATAAAATAAAAAACAAAGGATTATAGATGTGTTGCACAACAGTTGAGCTTAAGTGTGAAAACTTAGAACAATTTTAGATCTAAAAAGCTATGTGAGTCGTTAAGAGTCGAGCTGTCTTTAGCTATGAGTAAGCTTTCTTTAATGTATAATTCAAGGTCTGAAGATCCTGTGGTAATGATAGAGAAATCGTTAATTGAAATAGTATGACCTGTGGTTCCAGAATGTGAACGAATGGATGAGTGGCTGGGTTTAAGTAGTGGACGGTTGGTTCTGTTAGATACTCCTAAATGTTCGCAGACTCTAGATTTTAAATGTTGTTTTGTATTGCCAATGTACGTGATCTTACAGCCACTACATTAACCTAGAAGTTTAGGTAATTGATATTTGTATTGAAATAAGTATTTAATGTGGAGGCTAGATCTGGATATTAGTCTGAGCTGAATATGAGGGTAGAATTTTTTTATTAGAGAGGAGAGTTGTTTTTTTAATTTCTAGGGATTGTGAACCCATAAAAAGAAGTGAGATAATAAGGAGAAATTTGGGCACGGTCCGCACATTGGCTAGTTGGTTGGAATTTGTTGTTTAAGAAATTGCGTGTAATCTTCGTTAGAAAATCAGCCGGATAGCCATTATTTAACATAACTTCTTCGTGTAAAGTAAAATAATTCGAACAAAGATTAGTTGATTATGTTTAACAATGATATGACCAGATTACGTTTGAAGAAGTTGCTATTTCGACGATCAAGTCACGTCTCTAAGATCCTTTTTTTACTTTAATTTCCAACACCACAATATCTAGTTCACATCCGAAACTGAGGGAAATAATTCCTTACCGTTCTTAGACGTCAGGATTACCAAAGAAGGTAAATACTTCTCTACCTCTGCTTATCATAAAATAACTTTTACTGGCCTCTACACCAATTTTAATAGTTTTATCCCCAACTTCTTCAAACTTAATCTGGTCATGTCGTTGTTGAACATAATTTTTAAGATTTATTCGAATTATTTTATTTTACACGAAGAAGTTACTCTTCTACTCAAACAATGTTAAATAATGGCTATCCGGCTGATTTTCTAACGAAGATTACACACAATTTCTTAAACAACAAATTCCAACCACCAGCCAATGTGCACACCGTCCATAAATTTCCCCTAATTATTTCCCACCCTTTTATTGGTTCACAATCCCTACCAATTAAAAAACAACTCTCCTCTCTAATAAGAAACTTCTACCCTCAAATTAAACTCAGACTAATATCCAGACCTGGTCTCCGCATTCAAAACGTGTTTCAATACAAATATCAACTACCTAAACTTCTAGGTTTATGGCTCATAGTGTAGTGACTGTAAGGTCACGTACATTGGAAAAAAAACGCCACTTAGAAACTAGAGTCAGTGAACATTTAGGAGTATCTAACAGAACCAACCGTCCACTACTTAAACCAGCCACGCATCCGTTCGTTCACATTCTGAAACCACAGGTCAATATATTTATTTAACGATTTCTCTATTATTACCACAGGATCTTCAGACCTTGAATTCTACATTGAATTCTACTCATAGCTAATGTTACGAATTTGTCATTATATATTTATTTTAATATCGACGTTTGTTTAGATTAAATTTATATTTAGAAACATACAGTTTATACTGTTAAATATGTATTACGAAACTCCCGCCTATTCTCAAAGAGTAAGAATCAACAATATATGTATGTACGTAAACACTTAAATGTAGCTCAGTATTGTTACGGAATCTGAAATTTTTAGAAAATCTTCCCACGGCTATAAATATAACCAACGAGACGCGCTGAAGAAAAGAGTGTGGCTATTATTAGTTCGTGCTATATCAGTGTGTTATAAACTTTGGGAGCTATAACTGTGATTGGTATAACGCTTATCGATCGGAAAACTTCAGATATTTGACCAGGAATACTTACAAAGCTCGAACATTACAAATCATTTAACGTCAGTGGATTATCATCGGACATTAGTATTTTTACGAAAACATTATATAAATTCAACGTGTGTGGACGGTAAATAACGAAGGACAAAGCTAGCCAGCTCCCTGTTAAGTAAATTGTACCTACGTCAACTCGTAATTAACTCGCTCATCGTGAACCCTCCATAAGATATCAAGGAAGTTCCAGACAAGAAAAAAGACTTTATATTGTTTGTAAGTTTGGGAAACTTTTGTTTATAAATCATTGTTTGTAATAACTATTTGTAATAATTGCTACTG